TAGGGTTTTTAGCATCCTCATTTACAAAGCCAGGAAGTCAGACACTTTACCTCTCCTGCTGGGACCCTCACCAGCCAATGTGTCTTTCACACTGAGTGCAACTGGGGTTGGTCTCAGCCCAGCCAAACTGTACCGAGGCAGTTGAGTCTAGCCACGCTATATGACTTGGTTCGAGCAAAGCCGTCCCCTTTTTAGTTCTGGGAGCACTTGACAATTCTGAGATGAGTTGGCATGGGTCCTGGAGATTATGGTGAAAAACAAGGTTGGCAGCTGTATATTTCCTTACTGGCTCTCAGATGTTGAACTTTCTGGGCCTAAGCAGCCTGCAGACATGGCTTGGGTCCCATATGGATTCATTTCTGAGGCACAAGTTTCACATTTGAGGACCTGAGCGGGGGAAGACCCTTGCAGAGAACACAGACAGCAGCCCAGCAGTGCCTTTGTCTTCTGCAGATGCCCATATGGTGATGGCCTTCTGAATAATCTCCTAACCTCCAGAACTGGGAAAAAAAGAGATGCAGATGTGGCCATTTAGCAAATATTTCCTTCTGTTAATGATCAGGGCTTCTAAGGAAGGCACCAATATGCTCCATTTTAAAGGAGAGAAACTGAGGCACAGAATGCAACCAACCGTCCAGGGGCACCAGCGTATCTCATGATCTTCACCATTGTACCACACGTCCTGGTAGAGTTGCGCTCTGGCTCTGCCCCCTGACTCTCATACTTCTTTATTGGGTCGATTGTCTTGGCCTATCTTGTACATAACCACTTCTTACTTAGGGTTTTATTGTTGTGAAGAGACACCATGACCACGACAGCTCTTATAAAGGGTATAAGCTTAGATTTTTCACCAAACCTACTTTATTTGGGGTTCTTAAACACCTTTACCTCTCTTCTAACCCCCCAACTTTAGGTAGAAGATTAGTAGGGAAAAAGGGCTATCGATCACTTTTATCTACTTCCTGCTGATTAGGGTTGATGGGTCTTTAGGAGATTACTAGACTCAGTCATCCGGATACCAGCAGTCCAGTCCAAAGGCCAACACCACGCAGCAACACAAAGTCAACGAAAGCCACAAGACTCAGTTAGATTGCCCCCAGAAATTCTCTGGAACGTTTCTCTCTGCAAAGTCAAGTGTTGAAGCATGAAGATCAGCACAGCGAAGCCAATCCAAAAATCGATGTCTCACTGTGTGTAGGCCTCTACATATCTCCTCTCCTCAAAGTCCACCCACGGATGTTCTCAGCTGGCCAAAGTCACGCCCCTTGCACGTGAGAGCTCACAGCAAAACATCATGTGTGTGCCCAGCTTGCCGCAAAACATCACATGACAAAACCGAGTCTTCAAGGAAACCAGAAACTTCCACTTCAGAAGGGAAGCATTTAATTAGGGCTGGTTTAGTCCACTATCATCATGGTGGGAAGCATGGTGGTGTGCAGGCAGACCTGGTGCTGGAGGAGCCGAGAGTTCTACATCTTGGTCTACAAGCAGCAGCAGCAGCAGCAGCAGCAGGAGATTGTGTCACTGGACATAGCTTGAGCATTGGACACCTCAAAGCCCACTCCCACAGTGACACACATCTTCCAACAAGACCACACCCACTCCGACAAGGCTACATCTCTAAATAATGCCACTCTGTATGGCCAAGTGTTCAAACACATGCCAGCGTGTGTGAGGGGCATACCTATTCAAACCACCACAACCACTTTCACAGGAACTCAGAAAAGTCTGAAGTTGAGCAGGACTGGGCTGGGCTCCTGGTGTGTAGCTTTTCCCTCTGGGTACCACAGAGGGCACTTTGATGGACTGTGAGGTGGGCCGCAGCTGTAGGAATCATGCTCTGTCCTACTCTAATGCTGGTTCAAGGCTGAGAAGCACTCTTTACCTCATGTCTGTGACATCTAAGACATCACAGCCTGCACGTGAACATTAGTTCAGGCTTGTTTGCTTCCACCTCTAGAATTCCAGGGTTCCGGAACTGTCTCAGGTGGTGATGGAGGTCACCCCCAGAGCCTCTTGCATGTTAGGGAAATACTCTACCAATTGAACTGTAACCCCAGTCCTGGGCGTGAACATTTTTAGTCGTCTTGTTATCTCCCCTGATTTCCCTGGCAGAAGAGGAATAAATTACGCAGAATAAATTAAGTTCTCATTGCAAATAGGAAAGAAACTGGAATTTTTACAGTAACCAGGCATAGTGCACATTTCAAAAAATCAGCTGTTTCATGTGTCAGTTAATGGTTTTTATTTACAAAATTTGTGCACGAGTTAACGGAACAATGATTTGGCTTCCTGAATTTCTAAATGGAGTTGAAGACAAACGTTTCGTGGACTATAGCAACTTGCTTGAATGAGGTCCTGTGCTGCATCTTTTTTAAGCATTTATTTTTCCAGAATCCCCTGACTGACCTGTACCTGACCGTTTGCTTATGACTTCCAAGATCACCATTCTGCCGCTCATTTCATCATTTTATATTTGCCTCAGACCCAGTTCCCTGAATGTTGCTGGCTCGTCCAATCCCGGGGCAGAATGCTGTCCTGATTATGTTTGTAGCTTTCAAGTTTGGTTATACATTCATGAACCATCTTGGGTAATGTTTCTTCAGGCTTAACCAAGCATTGGAGCCATCCATGTGCATTTTGTTTTGTGGACACTCAGTCACTGTGCTTTGAACAGAGTCACCCAAACAAATGCAAGTGGAAGCTGTGACTCTAACCTCTCTGAGCTGATGTCTCAGTGAGTGCCTGCATTTCTAGTTTCTTCCCGTAGGAGGTGCTGATGCCTTCTACTGTGGCCTTACTTTATCACTTGGCTCAGGGTAGAATTAATATTCCTGCCATAAATCTGAGATAAACACTAGGCTCTTCAATGTATATAAAACACAACAACAAAAACCAAACTTCTTATGTCTTCATCTAGCTCACTATTTTTCTATCTACCCTGATAACCTTGGCATCTAAAAGAGATAAGAAATATCTATTATTCACAACCTGTATTGAATTTAAAACGTGTACTAGGTGGCTCAGAGGTGAGAAAATTATTCATTTAGCCACCCAAACAATATATTATGAGAGCTAAAGATGCAGGGGAATGGGCCTTATGTACAGAGGACTTACTGTTGATACAGAAGACAGGAAGTTTGGGAAGTACCTGTAAGAGCAGTGTGTGAGTCACTTCGCATCACTCTAACGAAGCGTCTGAGACAGATGCCTTAAGGGAGGAGAGATTTATTGTGCGCATGACTTCTGGAGGTTTTGTTTATTGAAGGCTTACTCCATTGTGATGGGGCTCTGGTGAGGCAGAGCACCATGGTGAGAGAAGGGCCTGGGGTAGGTAAGTGGCTTATCCAGGAAGCAGAGAAAAAGGAAAAGTCTTGAACCAAGACACCTTCCAAACTGATGCTCCCAGTTACCATCTTCCTCCAAACAGGCCCTATGTAAAAGCCGGATGAAGCCAACACACCCAGAACTCAATCATCTTTCAATAGCACCCCAACTCTGGGCCAAGCCTTAAGTACAGAACTTTTTTTTTTTCCTGTAATGTCTTGTATCTGAACCATCATAGCAGCAGAAGAAAAGTCCTGTTAGAAAGTAAGAGAGCCCAGTGAGTTCGGATTACTTTCACACAGGTGATACAGCAGTTTTATGGAACAGGCAACAGATGCATTGAGACTTCAAGAGTGAAGATTCAGGAAAGCAGCAGGGACATAGCATGGTGTGACCTGATGAGGGTGATGGAAAGTGGGAAATAAGCCAGGGAGGATGACAAGTTGATATGCTGATAGGCAAAGTCTAAGTAAAAGCTCAGACTTTGTTTTAGCTTTTGCCTTAAACATCTGACTTTGCACAGGTGTATTTGCTGTCCAAAAGTTCCTAGAAGGTCAGAACAGGGGTCTGTGCCTGTGTCATGCTTGAGCTGTTTCAAGGAGAACAACCTCTCTACTATATCCGGGAACCAACATGAATGGCAAATGCCAGATACATCATCTTAGCAACCTACAACAAAAAGCAGAGAGCAGTTAAAAAGTCTTTGTCCAAACCCAGAAAATGAATGAAAAGAACGCCAAGGGAAAGATGACAAGCTGGAGTGATCTGTGATTTGTCCTTTAGATCAGGATAGCCCAATTGCATGCAACTTGAATGGCATGGGGATAGAGACCAGAGCTATTCACAAACTACGTTCTTCCTACTTAAATATTATATTGAAAGCAGTGGTTAACAGCAGCTCATTGTGGTGGGTTTGTACACAATAGTTTATGCAGTCACGCTATTCTGGAGAGTTACATGACATACTTAAAAAAAAAAAGATTTATTTATTTATTTTGTATACAATGTTCTGTCTGCATATACACCTGCACGCCAGAAAAGGACACCAGATCTCATTCTAGATGGTTGTGAGCCACCATGTGGTTGCTGGGAATTGAACTCCCGACCTCTGGAGGAGCAGCCAGTTACCTTTAACCTCTGAGCCATCTCTCCAACCCACATGGCGTATTTTTTAAGCTTTCTGTTTTCAGTTTAATCTTAAATTCTCTGGAATGGACAGTAAGACTGAGCAAAAATAGTGAAATAATTCTGAGGAATAAGGAAGTGGAGAAATTAAGTTGGACTTAGTGAGTAGGTGAGGCTGTTTAGTCAAGTGATTGATCAGGTCAGGTGAGAAATGCTAGAAAGACAAAACAAAACAAAAACAACCCAACAATTGCCAGGAAGATATGAAAAACTCTGGAGTTTCTGTGATTATGTTATGATATGTTTTTTGACCTGAGTAATTACATGAGATAATTATCCCTTATAGTGTGAAACAAAATGCTCCAAGGTGTGGCTGATGAATACGGCACTTACATTATATCGTTTACTTTCCCATTTCTTCTTTTATTCTTTATTTTTTTATTAATTACAGTTTATTCACTTTGTTTCCCAGCTGTATCCCCCTCCCATCCCAACCCCACCCTTCCTCCCTTTTCTTCTCCTGTGCCCCTCCCCCAGTCCACTGATAGGGGAGGTCTTCCTCCTTTTCCATCTGACCTTAGTCTATCAGGTCTCATCAGGACTGGCTTCTTTGTCTTCCTCTCAGGAGTGGTAAGGCTGCTCCCCCCTCAGGGGGAGGTGATCCAAGAGCCAACTCATGAGTTCATTTCAGAGACAGTCCCTGGTCCTATTATTGGGGAACCTTTTTGGATACTGAGCTGCCATGGTCTACATCTGTGCAGGGGTCTTAGGTTATCTCCACGAATGGTCCTTGGTTGGAGTATCAGTCTCAGAAAAGACCCCTGTGCCCAGAGTTTTGGTTCTGTTGCTCCCCTTGTGGAGCTCCTGTTCTCTCCAGGTCTTTCTATCTCCTCCTTTTATAAGATTCCCTTCACTCTGCCCAAAGTTTGGTTATGCATCTCAGCATATGCTCTGATACAATGCTGGGTGGAGTCTTTCAGAGGCCCTCGGTGAGAGGTTCCTGTCCTGTTCCCTGTTTTCTCCCTCTTCTGATGTCCATCTCATTTGCCTTTCTGAATGAAGATTGAAAGAAAACGTAAAATCTAAAAAATTCCATTTCTTCTTAGGAACTATTAAAAGGAGTTAATCTTTTATATTCTTGTCACTTGTTACTTTTTCTTGCTGTGAGTAGATGAAAAATCATAGAATACAACAGTAGATCATTGGATTGCATGCGTGATTACTGTGCACTGACATTAATCCAGGTGCTAGATATGAGATGCAGGTTCACTTGGCTGAAAAGAACCGGAGAGCGCAGATCCTCCTGTAAAGGTAAGTAAGAGGATAAATCGATATGTAAGCCGCCAGTCATGGTATGTCATGGAGACTGCTTCATCTGAAGCACGGGCAGGAGAGATCAAACTAGGAGTGGAGCTCCAGGTGGTAGACTGGAAGCATATGTCCTATCATGGGCTGTCTGCTTAACGTAGACTCTGCCTTCTGCTCTTTGGCAGTCTGTAAGGATATAGGGCAGTCACTTTATATCTTGGCTGATCTCCAAGAGCAGGTGGGAGGAGAAGTTTACTGGCTAGAGGTGTACTATGTGCCAGGGTCTCAAAAAACCAGAAAAGGAAGACAATACCTTTTAGAGGTCATTGTCCCATCCTGGGGAAGATCTAGTGTGATGTAATCCTTAGCAATAGAACAAGTGTGTGAGTATTGAAGGTGAGGTGGGGCAGGTGATTTTTTTTTTCTGCTTTCTCCAGGGAAGCACTGTGAGAGGCCCTCTGTTCTCTTGGTTTGACACAGGGCTTCTTGTCAGCTTTCGCATTAGGCAAAGGTAAGCAAAGTTCAAGACAAATATCATGAATGGAAGGACTGGACTGGTGAGAAAGTTTTCGCAGCTCTGTACAATTTTGTAAAGAATGAAATTGTGTTTTCGAATAGTTGGAGCAGATTCTAATGCACACAGCGACTTTGCAAAAGATGGTTTTGACTGAATCTAGCTCTTGATTTCCAGCTCGCTCACATGACAGAAGTTCAAAGATCATAAGTCTGTGCTGATGTACCCATCAGAAAACTGGCAAAAATGCTTATTGCTTCAGCTTGAATCCCCCACATCCCAGAAGAACATATTCTTATTTTTAATAGACACAAGCACTATATTAAATATTACAATGGAAATGCCTGTCTGTGGAGATACAGGAGTTTGTTTTTCTGCCCTTTGTCTGTCCTTGTGGACACTTTCAGTCAGATCTGATCACAGCTGACAAACCACCAGATGAACTAGAGTTACCTTTAAGCTAAACACAGCTCTTTATGTTAGGCAGTCTATTTATCTAGGTGACAATTTAAGTACTTGAACAACTGTAGGCCTGGCTGAAGTTCAAGTAGATTCCGAAGTCATTAGCTGCATCTTAAACACAACACAGAAGAATATAAACCAAATGTTAAAACATTTTTCATGATGACCAGTAGCAATTGTTTTTCTAAGGAAGGCAACGCAAATCAGTAAAGGAATTCTGCTTCTGAGCAAGAGGTCAGATAAAACAGGTTTTTTGGTTTTTTTTTTTTTTCTAGATGTTTCTAGACCTTTCAAGAAAAAGTGATCTGCTCATTTTGTGGAAGCGGAGCCAGTGTCTGGGATTAGTGAAAATTAGGCTTACTCAAGTGTCTGTGTGTCGAAGCTGATCCCATGGCTGACTCATGAGAACATGGCCACAGTACATGTGGGTTGCACACTTCTGCTTTGAATTCTCTTGAATATACATCCAGAGGTGATATAACTGGATTATATAGTAATTACAATTTTAGTTTTTTGAGGAGCCTCTACGCTGATTTCCGTAGTGGCTAGACTAACTTACATTCTCATAGTAGGTATGCTTAGAGTGAAAAATTCTGTGCACATATCTAACAGCAGTACACATTGTCCACAATGTTTCTCTTTGGCATACTTGGGATTTTATTTCTAACAGATTTTCCAATTCGTTCTCCAGCCCTTAAGGGCCACCTTCTCATTTTATAGGTCAGTTAGCGCTGATGTTGGGCAACATCTCCCAGTGCCTTGGCGGCTGCCTGGCACTGCCCTATGCCACCTCTCCATTGGCAGGCCTTGGCATCCTCAGTTGGTAGGAGGCTCACTTGTTCCTTACCTTGAGAAACCTGAGAGGAGGGCCAGGTGTGGTCAGTGAGGGGCATTTCCACAGTCTGGAGTGGACTCACCTGCAGTGTTCTGCATGCCTCATCTGGAGCTATCATTCTTCCCCAGAACAGTTTCTGTGAGAAAGAAAGGCAGGGGCTAGTTTTTCCCAAGGCTTTTTAGAGACTCTGAGATTAAAGGTTTCAGGCTGGAGAGATGCCTCAGCAGTTAAGAGCACTGGCTGCTCTTCTAGAGGACCCAGGTTCAATTCCCAGCACCCACATGGCAGCTCACAACTGTCTGTAACTCCAATTCTGGGACTCTGACACCCTTGGACAGACATACACGCAGGCAAAACACCAAAGCGTTTAGGATAGAAAGAAATAAGTCACAAAAAAAAATTAAAAAGAAAGGTTTTATTCCTGCTTTAGCTTGTAAAATTGCAAAGTGATTGGGTTACTCTTAATTTAGTTTACAAGGATAAAATTACTACGATAACAGGTAGCTAAGTCTGGGCCCAGGCTCAGTCAGGTTCAAACCCTGATCCAGGCTTAGTCAGCTGTGTGATATTGGATCAACTGCATGTTCTTCTGTACCTCAGTTTCTAATTAACAAAATGGGCCCCATGGTACTTCCTCGCAGGGCTTTATGTGAGGATGGAATGTGTCACAGAGAAGCTATGTGCACCATGTAAGAGCCGCTTATACCCTCACTTCTCTTGCTGTCTTTAGTGGGCTCCAGGTGCTGCCCTCTGCTAATAGTGTGGGGCTTATTCGTGTTTTTATCTCGAATGGCATTTGCCTCACTCATGTCAGGGTATCTTGCTAACTATATACAAGGTCTCTTCTGCAGATAATTTAAAAATCCTAAAGTAAAGAACCTGGCAACGCATGCCTGGGCCAGACAGTGCCTTGGCAGTCTTCGTGAGACAGTGGAGACAGTTTTCAGTCTGCACTGAAAACCTCTGCCCACAGCAGAGGCCCTTCCTAGCCCTCAGTGTCCCCCCAGGCTTGTCCTTGCACTGCTAGGCTGAGAACTGAGCGACTGGGAGCAAGAGTTTCCAACCCATAGGACGCTATAATCCACGAGCCGTTTGGCTGGCCACACAGCTTAACTCTCCCTTTCCCTTTAAGTCTCAGGTTCTGTCTCCCTGTGTGACTGTGTGTCCAGTTGGCCTGGCACATGTTCCACGTTGCTAATAGTCTCCCTCTCCCTGGCACGATGCAATGAACCTATGTGCCAGTACTTGCTATACCCATGGAGGATTGTGCTAATCTCACTCCCTAAATATAGTTGTGGCTGTCACTGCCCAACCCATGGATGATGTGCACTCTCCACGGGCACACCTTACCCACTTCACGTGTTCCAGCACCTGCCTGCTGTTGCCCTGCAAAAGCTTGGTATTTAGGAAGAGTGGCATAAAGGGCCATGGAAGCCGGGCAGATGGGAGCCGGGATGCAGGAAGGCAGGATGTCCTGCTCCGAGGTCACTCTGAGGTGACCTTGGCTGTTACCCGTGGTCAGAATTCAGATAATGGCACCAACACCTTGATATTAGAGACATGTTTTGCATCCTGGCCAGGTCTGGCCATATTCTAGGATCACCAGTCGTCTCTTGCCGAGCAGTGAGGGGCCTGGCAAACCCGACATACAGGTGTGGAGGCGTCGCTCTGTGCTTCTGTGCTTGTGTGGTCTCTGCCCCTCTCCACCTAGCAGCAGAGGATGTAGCGCTTTGCGTGGCATGATAGGCAAACGAGAGGGAGAGGCTTGCTTTTCGCAGAACATTTCAAATCATTATGATGACTAGGAGGAGCCCTTCACCAGGGCCTTCGGGCCCGCTGGTGCACCCCATTGAGTGCTAGGAAGCACGCCATTTACACCTGGGGAGGCTGGGCAGAGGGTGACTACTGATTATGTCTAGGGCAAGTGTGTTCCCGGTTTCTCTTCCTGCAGGAAGACATTATCCATGCCAGTAGCTTGTTTGAGAACCCTATATATCTAATGTGTGTGTGTGTGTGTGTGTGTGTGTGTGTGTGTGTGTGTGTGTGTAGACAGGGATTCGTGCACACATATGTGTACATCTGAAAGCCAGAGGACAGCCAGTGAACCCTGGGGTTTCAGCTGTCCCTGCCTCCCAGGTGCTGGGATGACAAGGGTACGCCACCGTGCCTGAGCTTTCACTTGGTTTCTAGGGCTCAAAATAAGGTCCTCTGCTTGCAGGACAAGCCCTTTACCGGCTTGTCACCTCTTGAAGCAGTGTCTTGTCTTGTTTGGTTTTGTCTCAGTTTTCGACATTCTAAGATGAGGCTTCACATTGGGGCCCTGGCTACCCTGAAACTCCTCTGTAGACCAGGTTAGCCTCAAACTTGTGGTGACTTGAGCATGCAAGGATTGCTGGTGTCTCATCACACCTGGGTTTCTTGTATTTTAGCTAGACTAGACAGTAAACCCATCCAGTGAACCCTGGATGGGAAAGAAAGGATGCACAGAGGGATATATATATTCAACGCTGGGCCTCCAGGCTGGTGGATAGGGGCCATTGGCTTTGAAGTTCTTAAAGTTTTATCAGTGAGAGACAATAATTAAATTATTTTCACATTCATCTACCCATCATCTGTCTATTTAGTGTGTTTGTATGTAAGTGTGTGTGTGTATTTGCATGCATGACTGAGCACATATCCCGTGGAACTATTGGAGGCCAGAGGACAACTTTGTAGTTATCAATTCTGTCCTTCTACCTTGTGGGTCCTGGGAATCTAACTCAGGTTGATGGCAGGTGCCTTCACCAGATTAAGCCTCCCTGATATCTTTAAAATGTTCAATATTTTGTGTATAGGTGTTTTGTCAGCTTGTATATCTGCATTCTACCTGTGTGTTTGATGGCAATGCAGGCCAGAAGAGGGTGTCAGATCCCCTGGAACTGGAATTACAGGTGGCTGTGAGCTACTGGATTGAACCCCAGTCTTCCAGAAGAGCATCTAGTGTTCTTAATCACTGAGCTACTGCTCCAGTCCCCTAAATTATTTTGAATTTTTTAAAAAAATGTATTTATTTGTATTTTATATACATTGGTGTTTTACCTGCACGTTTGTCTGTGTGAAGTGTCAGAACAGGAGTTACAGATGCCTGTGAGCTACCATGTGGGTGCAGGGAATTGAACCTCGGTCCTCTGAAAAAGTAGCCAGTGCTCCTAACTGCTGAGCCATCTCTCCAGCTCCTAAAATTACCTTTTATCTAGTGCTTCCACTCCAAACACAATTATAAAAAAAAATCTGAAAAATATGATTTCCAAACAATAGTTCGGAACAAAGGAAACCCCCCCCCCCATAGGAAATCTTATGCCAGACATCAGTTAATAAGTCTGGAATGACAGCACCTCCCAAGAGTATCTATGTGAGACACACTTCCTGACACAGATTTTGTTCAACGAACCGCCTATCCGACTATTCCTTTTACGTTGGCCCTATGTGTTTTTATAAGCATTTCCAAACAGTGGGAAATAGACTAGGAAGACAAGGAGTCTGCCTCAGAGGAGTGACTGCTTGCACAACCACTTAAAACACAGCAACCTTTGCGAGAAGGAAATTCATTTGTTCCTAGGAGCTTGGGCATTCTTATTTCTTATCCTGCCCGGCTCCCCATCTAGAGCAGTGGTTCTGTGGACCCAGCACCAACTGGAGCTTGCCCAAGTACAGACTATTCAGATGTGGGCACGCACTGGGTGTTTTGACGACTTCTAGACCATTCTGCTCTAAGAGAAAGTTTGAGAACTGTGAGTTTAAACTATAATTTTCTTGCCAAACAGATCTGCATTCCCATGAGGTGTTTTCGGTAGTTTTGTTTTTAATTACAAAAGAGGATCATCCTGTTTAATGCTATACACCATAAAAGGGAATCTGTGCAAAAACTGTTACCTCTAGGTTGTAATTGAGTGTGAAACCACATTTCTTACTAGTTTAAAAAAAGATTTATGTGTGTGTGTTTGTGTGTAACTGAGTATATGTATGTGCACCACACGAATTCAGGTGTCCATGGAGGCCAGATGAAGGTACTGGATCCCCCTAAACTGGAGTTAAAGGAGGCTGTGAGTCACCAAGCCTGGGCGCTTAGCTGAAGTCCTCTGCAAGAGCAGCAAGTGTCCTTAACCTCTGGGACACCTCTCTAGTCTCTTGCTAGTGAGTAACAGCAGGAAAAGGAGAGTTTTGAAACAAGGTAAATGTTTCAAATGTAAAATGTAAGGGTTTAGAGTCTGTGCTTTGGGGGATGATGACAACGATGATGATGACTCACAGGGTCTCATGTATCTGAGACTGGCCTGGAAGTCACTATGTAGCAAAGGATGACCTTGAACTTTGGGTCCTCCTGCTTCTGTCTTCCATAATGCTAGAATTACAGCCATGTGTTTGGTTTTTTTCAGTGCTGAGGAGCAAAGCCAGGGCTTCATGCATGCTCAGTGAACACTCTACCACCTGACCTAGTTTTCGTGGCTTATTGGCTGCTGAGCTCCATCTTTTGGTTTCCTGAAATCCTCTCGGAAGCAGCTCTCCTGGGATCAGCCACACTGCTCACACTGCACTCCAGCGATTGCCTGGCCTTCCTGCTGGCCAAAGGCGGCTTCCGCCCCCTCTCCTCTGCCCCTACACTTGAGTGGCATGTTTTACTGGCCCGCATAGCTGTTGTCACTCCCCTGGCTTGAGTCTATGTGAGCACTTTTATGCTCTAAGTCCTCACGCCACACCCCTAATCCCTTAAATGTGCACTCCACATGAAAAAACAAAACAAAACAAACCAACCCAATTCTTCTCCCCAGGCATAGACTCCACAGCCGCACTCCTGAAATTCATGCAGGATAACACGATCAATCAGCAGCGGGTGGAAATGTTAGATTCTGTCCCTCACTGAGTGTGCGCTTGGAACCCTAAAAGACACCAGGCATGCCGACAGTGACCCAGCTTCCTCACTTTGCTAGCCAGCGTTCTTTGGCTTCGTGTCGGTGACTGCAGAACTCTGGATATCTTTGAGGTTCTTTTTATTTTTTTGACAAAGCAGTAGAAATATATTTTCTTGCAGTTCTGGTGTGTTGGTTTTTCAGAGAGGCCTTTCTTCCAGTCTTCCAGATAAGATTGCCGTCTTCTTTC